AGGGAGAAGCAGGCTCCATGCAGGAAGCCTGATGTGGGATTCAATCTCAGGACCCCAGGATCATGCCCTGAGCCAAAGGCAGACGCTCAACCACTGAGCCACCCAGGCATCCCTAAATATTAATTTCTTAAGGTGAGGACTAAGGGAGTCTGTAACCTACGGGGAGAATGAACAGATCTATTTAAGAGGAGTTTCCCCTCTCCCCAAGGCCAGACAGCCTAAGCCAGGGATGTTCTGAGATGTGAAGGTAACACCCACCCTGGGGCGGTTGCCACACCCTCTGCCGAATGTTTTCACTGTATGTTATGTGTTAACAGGGTTAAACTCCAGCTCCTCACAGGTAGGAAACTTGGTGCCCTTTTGGCAAAAAGACCAGCCCGGGCTGCAAGGTGGGCAGGCCACAGTTGCCATGAGCATCCTGCTAAGGGACGTCCTCTGCCAGAGGCCCTGTTTGCCAGAAACTTGTCTGGGATATACTGACCACTCCCTGACTACCCATGAACCCCTCTGCCTTTGGCAATGGGGCCTTTTAGGCTTAGCACAGATCCACGATGAAGGCCTTTGCATGGCAGTTTCTGTTCGGCGTCCCATGCCAGGTGGCGAAGTAGCCATAGAAACTGAGATGTGTTTGGAGAGCCCTGTTTCACACAGGCAGCATGACTGCCGGCGCGCTGCATTAAGGATGGTTCTGGCCAATAATTTGAGGAGGGAAAGCAAGTGGAGTAAAAGAGGAGTCCCCTGGCGGTGGGGGGAAGGAGACTGAAGTTCCACTAGCCATCACTTTTCTTGGCAGGCCCTGGGGAACCACTGCCTTTAGAACTTGCCCCCTTTTCTGTTGCCCATGAGGAATTGAGTGAGCCAGTTCACCTGGCCCAAGGTAAAGAGAATCGAGCAGTTGGGGGCATCACTCTTGGGAGTTTCTTTGAAATGTTTTTGTCCTTGCGGTTTCTAAGATGCTAATGCAAGCCAGGGTGGTTGAAGCTGTGACCCAAGCAGTAGTCGCCAACTTAACATTCTACAAGCAGCTTGTAAACTCTCACCTGGAGCCAAGTTGTTTCAGCTTTTTGCCAAAAGAAAAGCCAACTCACGAATACTAAACAGCTCATGATTGATCTGTCCTTAAAGAGACTCCTGTCACACTTAGAGCCACAGACAGGGCTGCAGAAGGGGACAGTGCAGGCAGGCAGGACTGGGCCACAACCGTGAGCCCATGTGGCCTCTTCCCAGCATTGATGGAACGCGCCTGAAAACCAGGACTGTGGGACCACTGGGCCTAAGTTACTTACTCAACATCCCACATGCGCGATTAGGGTGACATCCGTCGCTCCACCCGAACATGCTTGGTTCAAGGCTGGAATAGCCTTGATGCCAGAAGCGTACACCAAGCAGAAACCTGGCTTTTACTCTAAAGGATGACGGGGCTGAGCTTGAGCTTGGTCCCAGAAGTAGGAACCCTCTTAGTAACACCAGTTACTGTTTCTTAAAAGAACAAGAAAACATTAACCTTCTGAACCCAAGAGCTGGCCCCTCGCCTGAGGACCGGGTGTGTTTATAAGTGCTTTCCACGCCCGCATGCCCTTCCGGTATAGAAACTGGGGCAGCCGAGGAGTCCGGCTCTTTGGTTTCCTTCTCTGCCTGATTCAGAAAAGGAACCAAAAATCTGGAGAGGATGTCCCCCGCCTCCCAGGAAAGTTCACAGAAGCAGAGTGAAAAGGTCTACACCCCAAGAGGTGCAGGATCCTCCTGGATCCTTGGATGATGGTGAAAGATACTTTCCCAAATGTCCCACTTCAAAGTCATTTCTCAAGCACTGGCCAGAGCTCTTGCTTTGTAGAGCAGAGCACGAAGGGCCAGGCAGCCCTTGGACTTCGTCAGAACCGTGCTCCTCCTGGTGGCCGATACTCCTGCAGGCTCCAGTTGTCCTCTTAGGCCACTTGCCCGCTGCCTCTTTGTGCAACAGGCTTTTTGCTTCTCGCCTTGAGCGAGGCACCAGCCCACGGGTGCGGGGCCGGTCTGCCCTGATAGTGGGTAACCAGCTTTCACCCGACCCCCCACCACCTGGGGCCAATCAAGGGCATTCTGAACCCTACCCCCGCCCCCCCCTCCCCCGCACATGGAAACGAGGTGGGAGTGAGTGGAGGCAGGACAAGGCGCTGCTCTTCATGGAGGACAGTGAACCCCAGGGTGGGGTGGGCGGGAAGAGGCTCTGAGCAGCTCCCAAGCTGTAGTGTTCCCTGTAAATTAAACACCAGTTACCTTCTGTGTCCATCTGCGGTAATTGGAAGGCAGGGAAAATGTCTCCGTGATTAACTGGTGGTAGTAAACTTTCTTATCAAGTGAGTATCAGGAGATAGCTGGAGAGATTACCTTTATAAATAGGTGTCTGTAAAATATGTATGTCCTTGAGGGCAGGGAGGATCACGAGGACCCCAGTGTTGGACGTGGGCGAAGTGCAGCACTGAGCACATTTAGCCCGAAGTTCGTGGGGAGCAAAGATCACAGGAACGGGCTTGGCTAAGGAAATTAATCCCGCAGATACATGGCCTGTGGGATGTTTTTGTTGATCAGAGAGCTTCTTGGCCTCTCCGGCTTGCTCTTCTCAGGCTTCTAGAATGTTCCTGTACCTTGGCAGGGAGGAGGCAGTCTCCTCACAGTGGCCACAAGGGTGCCTTCCCCTGGACGGGTTATTTAGGTGTGTGCCTGGGACCGGGATGGCTTCTGCACGTTTCTCTCGGTCTCCCCAGGATGGGCCCCCCCCCCGCTTCATCTCCTGGCCCTCACGTTCCCCTCTCCTCCCTAGCTAGCTAGCATCGCTCTGATTCCCCACCCGTGCCCGAGACATGGAGAGCTAGTGGGAGCTACTAGAAAGACTCCTTATTTTTCGATAAGTCTGAGGCTCGTGGCAATCGGAGATTAGTTCATTTTCATTCCCACAAGAGCCCCTGTTTTGACAGCTCCCCAAGGAAAACAGCTTCCTGGCTTCCCCGCCGCTCTCGTCTTCCCATCAGCGATTCGGAGTCTGTGCAGCTGGGCGAGAGTCTCCTGGGTGTGAAGCACCCTCCTCCAGCAGATACCCTGTGTCGAGGGGCACCCCCAACAAGCTCTGTTGTCTCTAGAAGAAAAGAAAAAGTTGCCATGGCAAAGATCTGCTTTGTTGGGATGACTTTCAAGACGCAGAGGCTGTTGCATCCGCAGTAGGCAACACTTTTGGCCAAGGAGGGCGATGCGTGTACACTGCGTTTCAAGTCGAGCTTATTAGACAGGTTGCTGGAGGGGCTCGCACATCACGGAGCGGGCTAATTGGCTGCAGTGCACTCTGCCTCCAACCCATCTCCCTTCTCCAATTAAACTCCCATCATCCTGTTGTCCTGGGCGACCTGCTGCTGCCTCCGATTGGCATTTCTGTTTGGGTTGGGATTTTTGTTTTTTTTGTTTTTTTTTTTTTTTTTGTAGTCCTTTGAAAGGTAACTTAATGAAACACTTTAAATACTTCGTTTTTTAATTTAAACTCTTTTAATTAAAGCACTTTTCGTGGAACCCTCAGTCACGAGTTCTTTCCCCACATCCTTCAGTACTTAATCTCAGAGCAGAATTGGAAATATCGATAGAAAGTGTAAATCATGCCCTCCTGCTGAAAGCATTGTATCAGGTTTCGGCTCAAAAGAGCACCATTACCTTTAGCTGTCACGGATCTGTACACTTGATCGATAAACTTCAAATATTATTAGAGGTGGAGGCTTCAGAGATTTGCTCTGTTCTTTGGAGAGAGACAGAGATAAATCTTTCTTAAAAATTGACTTGAATTTGCACTCTCCGTCTTCCCGGTGAAATGCATTTCTCTCAGGCGTCCAGCAACTGCAAGGGGGACAGATTTATAGGCCATGTGCTTCTTGTACTGAAAGATTTAAATGGTAAATCCTTCACATATGACTTCACAAATCATGTAAAGTTAAAAGATTTTTACCGTTTCTGTTGCTGCTGTGCTTAAATTGTAAGGTACAGCTAGTAAATCATTTTAATGGAGGTGTCGTACTTGACTCAATAAAAAAAAAGACAATGGTTTAGCTTCCACTCCAAAATGTTAATGTATTAATCAACGGGAGAATAATTGTTTTTTACTACATTATAAATCTCGGGTGCCATTAGGACTTCAGCAAGGGGTGATGTAGCCACATTCCTAAATTAAAATTGTTTACACTGCCATACATCCATTCTGCATCGCCATAGCTCATTCTGGGTTCATTTTGGAGTTGTCCCTCAGCCAAACATGTCGTCCCTCAGTCGGAAGAAGACATCCCGAGGGAGTGATGCTTATAAAGGAAAATTAATTGCCTCGTGAAGTGTTAAATAAATAAAATAAAACCCGTCTGTGGCAATGGACAATTATTCCTTGCTGTCTTTTTTGAAATAGGTTTTTAGGTTTTCAATTGAGGCTTACTCCCTCATACATCCTAAATGTAGCAAGCGTGTCACTTGTCTTTAGTCTTATAAGCCTTGTTTTATCTCGAGGCAGCTGTGGCTTGTGAGCTCCTTTGCCTGTGCACGCGCCTAGCAGGGAAGAAGTCGCTGGGCCCTTCCAGAAGGGCTCCTGCCGCCTCCCCCTGGCAGCTCCTGTCACCGCCAGAAGGTGCTGTCCCGAGCACCCTGAGTAGCTAGGTCAGCCTCCTCCTTAGGATCTGCCGCTGCACACAGCTGGAGTGAGCGCTAAGACCAGGCCAGGACTGGACAGACTGTTTCTTCTCTCCCCGGTCCCTAGGCTTGTTCCACATACATTAGCGCTCCTCCGCTGCTTATAATGAAATTGCCTTGTGGGGAGAACAGATCAATTCGGCTCTGGACAGGTCAGTCTGTTCCCTTGGTGTAACTTGATCCATCTGGCTTGTCTCTCTGGCTCCTCCATTATAAAAAGAAGGTGATCTCTGACCTGGAGGCAGTGTGGCCAGGGCTGCTGGTGTCTTGTAATGAGCTCTACATCCCTATTCCTTTTCTGATTCCAACAGATTCTCGAGCAGGTGAAGAAGGCGCCATCAGAGCGGTGGATCATGCCGTGATCGGCGGTGTCGTGGCCGTGGTCGTGTTCGCCATGCTGTGCTTGCTCATCATTCTGGGGCGCTATTTTGCCAGACATAAAGGTAAGCAAGGTGCTCTGGCAGGCAGGAGGCCTCCCGTCGCCGCAGCCCCTCCATTTGGGGACTTGACAAGGCGTTCCTTGATAGGCAGTGTGGAGTATGTGGCCACATAGCCTATCGATGATTCCTGAAACTGGCAGAGAAAAAAAACAAAAAACAAAAAAGAGAACTCTTAGCAGCTGCTGATGAGGACTTCGAAGGCTGATGAGTAGCACTTCTTGATTTGGATTTTCTCTAAAAGCTTTCTAGACTTGTTATTCTGCAATCCATAATTGGGGAGAGAGCAAAAACTGTAAAAATAGGGGCTGGTGTGTGAGGTGGGGCGTGAACCCCAAAGCAATAAACGGGGAAAGAACGTGCTCGTACCCTGCTGCTTTCTGGGAAGCAGGTGGACAGGCAGCGCTGCCTGGCCCCAAGCTCCGGGTAAGCTGGTCACAGCAGCTAGAACACTTCCTTGGTTTGATGTGCCTTAAAAGCCACATAAATATGTATTTTTTTAAATTATCAGTGCAATTGATTTAAATTGCCATTAATCATCACACTTATGAACTGTGCAGCCTGGATGGGCAATCATCTTTTCCAATGCTCCTCCTCTGTGCCCCATGCTGCTCCAATCCCCTTCCCTCCGCCCCCCCCCCTTGGTAATTTATTCTCCCCTTTCTTTGTCGGCCCTTGTCCCTCTCCGCTATTTTTCTCAAGCGCTGTGCAGTGAGCTTGCGGGGCTTTCCCATAGCATTAGCTGCAGGCGCTTGCCTACTACTGGATTGTAGGATTTGGGTTTGGGGAAGGTCCCTTGAGCACAGCAATGGAGGTCCAAGGTGCTTGAAATCCCAGTAGGACCCACAGTGCCCATCTCACACATGAACCATTTGGGGACCCTCTGCCCGTGCCCAGGAGGCAGCCCCTGGGGCTGAGAACGCCCAGTCTCTTGGTGTTGAGCTTGATAGAGCCAGAAAGATGAGGCCAGAGAGCAGGGCCAAGTCTGCTCAGCAGCTTTGCGGACCAGGGGCAGTGGAAGGAAGGGGATAGGAGGGAAACATCTGACCACCTGCCTGCTTAGATCCATCACGTACGAAAACCTGGAAATACAATAAGTGTATCAGCCTTTTTTTTTTCCTTAAGAATCTTCGAGAACACAGTATATAACAGGAGGAGGGCTGTTTGACTATGGTAGGCAGTGTTAGCTCTGCCTAGATGTCCTACTGTGGTGCAGTCCTTGTCTCTCTCCATAAACTCTCCCGTAAATGGTTGGGACTTGCCGATAAGAGTGTTTCCAGCTTTGGAACGTTCTGTGTGTCGTCATTCTAAAGTGGCTGTGCCAATTAGCGAATCCATGAATCCGGGTCCAGGCTAGAGTCACACCTTGAGTGAGAATCGCTTATCCCCTGAGACAGACCCCCCGGCCTCCATCACAGCTGTCAAAATATCAAGTTGCTTCTCGATCTGGAACCCCACTCTGTAGCAGGAGGCTGCAGACGGTCAGACATGCCCATGTGTAAGCCCCCGCTGACGGACAGGCAGCAATGACCCCTGGAGACAGGAGACAGGGGTCCAAGTAAACGATTTGAGGCGGCCGTAGAACATCATCAGGGCCCTAATTCATTAATTGGCTAATTGCTCTTCCTTGCTTTGGTCTTTAACCATGTACGCGCACATCTCTGATCATTGGTCCTGGCGTTTACTGTTCACACGTCAGTCAGCAGCTCTCCAGCTTTCTGCATTTTTAGCTCCCACTCACGTCTTCTTCTGCCGACACCCTCTGGTCATAATCACTGCTCTAATGTCTCATTTGCTGAATTATATCGCAGCGGTTCAGTTGGAGTGGTGCCTTTGGAACCCCCGGATCCCCATTTGTCTCACCCACCTCGCTCTCTCCTTCCAATTGTTTTTTTCCCCTCTGCTGCCTGCACACCACTTCGGCTGATGATGGCCATAAAGCAAGTTGCCATCTCTGTACCACTTTACACAGAGGCCATCAGACAGTCACGGTGCTTTACCCCTTCATCTTTCAGGTACATACTTCACTCATGAAGCCAAAGGAGCCGATGACGCAGCAGACGCAGACACAGCTATAATCAATGCAGAAGGAGGACAGAACAACTCCGAAGAAAAGAAAGAGTACTTCATCTAGATCAGCCTTTTTGTTTCAATGAGGTGTCCAACTGGCCCTATTTAGATGATAAAGAGACAGTGATGTTGGAACTTGCGAGAAACTCGTGTGTTTTTTTATGAATGGGTGGAAAGGTGCGAGACTGGGAAGGCTTGGGATTTGCTGTGTAAAAAAAAAAATGTTCTTTGAAAGTACACTCTGCTGTTTGACACCTCTTTTTTTTTTTTTGTTAGTTGGTTGGTTTGTTTTTGTTTTTGTTTTTTTAAGTTTTATTTCTTCCTACCAAGTCAAACTTGGATGCTTGGATTTAGTTTGGGTAGATTGCAGAAAATTCTGTGCCTTGTTTTTTGTTTGTTCGTTGCGTTCTTTTTTTTTCTGTTTTTTTTTTCTTTTTTTCCTTTTTTCCTTTGTGCTCATTTGTTTTTTCCAAAACGTTTTGGATTTTTTTTTTTTTTTTTCCAAAATCTCCCATTTTGGAATTTGCCTGCTGGGATTCCTTAGAATCTTTTTCCCCTGATTTTGTTGTTGTTTTTTGCTTTTGTTGTTGTTTATTTTTGAACTGCTTTATGTTCAAAATTCAGTTTCGTAAAAGGAGAACCAGCACAGTTAGATTTCATAGTTCAGAATTTAGTGTGTCCATAATGCATTCTTCTCTGTTGTCGTAAAGATTTGGGTGAACAAACAATGAGGACTCTTTGCTGCTACCCATGTTTCAAATACTTAGAGCAGTGAAGACTAGAAACTTAGACTGTGATTCAGAAAATGTTCTGTTTGCTGTGGAACTACATTACTGTACAGGGTTATCTGCGAGTGAGGTGTGTCACAATGAGATTGAATCTGTCTTTAATTCTGTATTTGTAGACGGCTCAGCATAGATACCCCACACTGTCCAGAAAGGTTTGGGGCAGAAAGAGCTCCTCCTTTTTCAATGCCCTAAACAGACCTGACAGGTGAGGTCTGTTCCTTTTATATAAGTGGACAAATTTGAGTTGCCACAAGAGGGGAAGGTAGGGAGGGGGGGGAAGCTAGTTCTGCTCTGGTTATTTCTGTTCCAAACGATTCCATCCGCCTTTCCCAATCGGCCATACTTCTCACTAATTTGTAGGAAAAAGCAAGTCCGCGTGGCGTGTGAATGACTGGATGGGACAGGGTTTTTTGGTGTTTTGGTTTTTTTTTTTTTTTTCCTTTGTGCTTAGTTAGGAAGGCAGTAGGATGTGGCCTGCATGTACTGTATATTACAGATATTTGTCATGCTGGGATTTCCAACTCGAATCCGTGTGAAACTTTTCATTCCTTCAGATTTGGCTTGACAAAGGCAGGAGGTACAAAAGAAGGGCCGGTATTGTTCTCACACTGGTCTGCTGTCTATCTCAGTTCTCGAAAGGTCAGAGCAGAGGTGGAAAAACAGCATGTAGGGATTTTCAGTTACTTAATCAAAACTCAAATGTGAGTGTTTTTATCTTTTTACCTTTCATACACTAGCCTTGGCCTCTTTCCTCAGCCTTAAGAACCGTCTGCCAAAAAATTACTGATCCTCGCATGATGGCAGCCATAGTGCATAGCTACTAAAATAAGTTACCTTGAACATATCTTAGGTGGGGAGCCTCGGGAAAAGGTAGAGGAGTCGAGTTACCATTTGCATCTTTTTAAAGAAATGTGGGGATTTTCACTGAAACGTCTAGGAAATCGAGAAGTAGTCCCGAAGGACGAACACTAAACTCTTACCATATGTTTTGGTAAGGTTCCAGACTCCAGAATACAGTCCCTATGGAAAGATGGCATCAAAAAAAAGAGATCTATATATATATAAATATATATTATATAACATTTTCAGTGGGTAATTTTGGATTTTGCAAGGTACATTTTTACTATTGTTACATTATGTGGAAAACTTACGCTGATTTATTTAAGGGGAAAAAAGTATCAACTCTTTGTTATTTGAAAGTGTTGTTTATTTTTCTTGTCTTTGTTTTAACCTTTGATAGAACCATTGCAACTACGGGGGCCTTTTGGGAACGGACTGATATGTAAAAGCAAATCCATATTGAGCAGCATTTTGTTTTCCCCCCTCCTATCCCTCGGCACTTAACCAAGGCAAAAAGCCGCCACGAACATCCCTTTTTCAATGAATTTTCTAATGGGCAGCTCTATTCCGAGCCCTTAGCACCCATTCTGCCCATAGTATAATCGCATCAGAGGGTGAGAACCATTTAGCATGTCTTTGAAAGGTCTTTTCAGTTGTTCTTTTTAGGGGGAAAAAAAATAGCCTACCATTGCTCACAAAATTGGCATCTCATTTTTGAGACTTCCCATCTTTGTTTTGAAAAGTGTACAGTAGTGCAGTGTTCCTAATGTAACTTTATGGCTTACAATGTTGACATGTCTCAGGTTCATGTGTTTCGATTGGTGTTTTCCGTCTCAGGTAGATTGCAAAGTGTAGGCCCCACACATTGGAAAAAAATAATAATAAAACAAAGCAAAAACAGGAAATTATGGGTTTTAGTTGTATATTGGTTTATGTATTTTTTCTTAAGTATACAGTGCACTGTTTGAAATGTATTGTTGAGTATTACTTTGTACAGGTTGATCACTTTTTTTAGAGTGAAGAAAGAACAAACTTGTTTTTTGTGTTTTTTAAAGGAATATAAAATAATGAAGGATGTATAATTGATGCCAAATAAGCTTGTTCTTTAGTCACACCGACGTCTTATTTTTCCCTTTAGGCCAGTTCTGTTTTTAAGGTGTACATGAACAATGTTATGGTGTAAGAAATTCCATATCCATATGTTCCCATTCACATTTTGTATTGGTTCATGTATACCATTTTTACAAAAAAAAAGAAAAAAAAAAGAAGTACTATAAAATATCTGTCTTCTTAATAAAAAAAATTAATGTTACCAAGTGATCCTTTACTCTCTTTATGGACTTCTTACGGACGCCGGGCGCGAGAGAAGAGCGGGGGCCCCGGGTCCACCTTCCTCCCCAGGGTCGGGCGTGGCGCCGCCAGTGCGGGCGGTAGGTGCCCGGAGAGGCTGCGGCCAGGCTGCGAGCTGCCTTCTGCCCTCCGTCACCCTCCCCTGCCCATGCTCTCTCCTCCCGCTCAGGGGACAGGCCGGCCAGGTGCGCCGGCAGCGTGGACTCGGCTATTTGTGCAGGTGCGCGACGCAGCAGCAGCCCCCACCCCCTTCACCCGCCACCCCCACCAACCCCCCTGTGTTGGCTGCTCCACCTGTCTCTTACTTTGGGATTTCGTGTCTTAACAGCTCATTCCGCCTTCTCCATTTCAAGTGCTCTCTCCTTTAACAAAAAGATGGTGTGATCTCCGGAGGACCGGCTGGGTCGCCTGTGGGAGATGGTTCTCACTCGCTGTTTGCAGGCTGCGGAGAAGGCAGGGCCGGTGCGCCCCGGGAGCAGGTGTGTTGTTACCCCCCCTCCCCCGCCCCCTTGCCTTGCAGGCCCAGGTGAGCAGTGACTACGCTTCATGGTGACTGATCTCTCAAAATGCGCGGGGATAATGTGTGAGCGGCCCAACTGCCCTCTTCCCACCATCCGCCCGGCTGGGGTGGAGCTTCCTTTTCTCTCTCTCAGGCAGGTAATGGGGACAACCGGGCAGTGGAAAGAAAGGTAAGCTCCAGAAAAGCCAGACGGCTGTGTATCTCATTTCAACCGCCTCCATCCTGGCCTGGTCCCTTGCCCAGCTCTATACAAATCCGCCAACCGGCTACACTGTTCCCTGGCATCTGCTGCGTGTTCTGTCCTGGTGGACAGCAAGAGGTGTAAGACAGTCACCGGAGACTAACAGGCCATCAGTTCCACCCACGTGGAAACATGAAGTGGGCCTCAGACATGGGGCAGCGCTGAAGATGGCTAAGGAGCCCCGGGCATCCTGGGGGCATGTCTTGGAGGAGGGAAGTGTGCCGGAGAGCCAAGACAGCTTCCCCGAGGAGGAGGAGGGCCCCCAGCGGGCCCAAAACGGTATTTAGCAAGGAGGGAAGGGGAACCGACGGCACCCAGGGCAGCAAGCCCCACCAGGCTGCTGGCCAGTGTGGGGAGACTCCAGCAAGCCAGGCCATGAGAGCTGCAAGGTTGCATGGGTCTTGTGGCTGTCCTCAAACCCAGACACAGGAGTCCCGATTTCCAGGGCCGGTCTGGGCCTTTGCCAGGGGCACAGAGCCATGGGGAGCACTGACTCCTCACAGCTGTTTAGAGAGGGTGATAGAGGGCAGAGATTAGGAGTACGGATTCCAGTCCCTGCTCCGCCACAAACTAGCTGGGAACCGGGGCAAGTGACCCAACCTCCCTGGCCTTGGTCTCCTGCTCCGGAAGGTAAGGCTCACCCTAAGTACCGTTAAGAGATATACATGGGCTAAGCAGGAAGTGCTCAGCAACTAAGGTGCCAGACACAAGGTCAGCCGTACAGGATGGAGGGAGATGGAGTGGAAGGGTAGAAGGTTCCCCACGGCGGCCGAGAGGTGGGTACTGCCCACGCGGAGGGCCTCTGGGTACCCCCACGTGTGGACACCGCACGCCCTGGTGAGGCTTGCCTTGGACGGCGTAACCAGCCCATCCCCTTGTCTGTAGCCTGACGCCCCGGATTCAGCTATAACCCACAACGAAGGGACCCAAGAAGTTGACGGCCCAGAGGCAGACATGAGGCGGCAAGTTGCCTCACATTTGCTTAGGGTTCCACAGGGTATGCAAATGAGGAGACGCCAGAAGCCGCCCACGTGAGCGGGAGCTTGATAAGTTGCCCGGGCCTTCGTTTGGGGTGGGAGTGAAAACGGCCCTCGCTTCCTCCGGGGGGTTCTCACAAATGTTTTGGCCTGCTCGCGTTCTCCAAATACATCAACCGGAACCCCGAGGTGATACGCGGGTGTTAATTGGTGCAATCTTTCACTGTCCTCTTGTCTACTTGAAATGTAATTCTTGCCCTACTGTGGCCTCGTCCATGGAGAAATGTCCCTTTGATTCTGTCATCCGGAGCCTTAAAGCAGCCAGGCAGTCCCCACGCTGCAGGTAGAAGGACCCCGCTTGAGTGGAAGCGTTCTGCTTCGTTACAGAATTTGCCTAGGACCCTTTTTGTCGGGATCCCGAGTACACGGCCCCTGGTCATAAAGACCTAGCAGCCACAAGCCTTCGGAGCAAAGGTCTGTCCACAGCCACCCACGTGTACTTTGGAAAGATTTCCAAAATGACGCCGTTGCATGTCCTAAGCCATTGTCCCCGGGAAGGAAAAGGGGATTCTTGGCTGCCATCTGAGGACCCTGTGGGCCAGCGGGCACCAAGCGGCGGGCCCATCATAGGCGCTCAGCCAGGGGCACTTCACCACTGAGAGGCTGGCCGAGCCCCTGGCTGCTGAGTCACACTTGGTAGTTAGCATGACAGGTCACCAATTCTGTATTTCAAACCTTGACGTTTACACGTGCAGCTTTTGGCTGGGTGTTGAGCCTGCCGTCCGGCCCTGGGTGCAGTGCGAACAGCCCCATCATCCTCGGGGACCCGCAAGAAAACAGGGGGACCTGTCCCCTCCCCCGGCGAAGGACGCACTGGGGAATGGCTAAGCAGAGCCTCCCTCTTGCCTGCCTGTGTGGCCAAGGGCCTTCAGGATGACGTACGGCGGGTTAGAAAAATCCCACCATATTCCTTGCCCTCTTCGTGTTCATCTCAAAATTGTCAAATGGGCCTCTGACACCAGGCACCGTTTCCAGTGCCCCCCGGCTCCCGGCCCCCAATCGTTACACATGCCAGAAAGAGGGTGTCAGATGCAGGGATAATGTGAGCACCCCAAAACGGAGACTCGAGAGCAAGAATCTTTTTGCAAATCTCCCCGTCCTCCGTTTCCAGGCTCTTCCCGACACAGAAAATGGTTTTATTTTTCATTCCCGAGTCTCCTGCCCCTGCTGGCCAGGGCCCGGATATGCACCTCAGGTTTGCTTTATCCAACCCCTGGGATGAATCCCAAGGAGGCACTGGACTCAAGTCCACTGCTTTCTCTCGTGCGCATGCACGCCCGGTCCCCTCCCTTGTGATCCTCCTCGAGGTGTTGAGCTGTGGAGGTGGTGATTCTGGGAAAAGTGAGGAATCCTAGAGAGAGGGTCAGATCCGCGCTCTCTCCGGGCCGGGGACGGCGGCTGCTCTCCCAACGTGTGCTGGCTCGCAGTCATATTTCAGACACATGATCGCCTTAAATCTTCCTTAAGTGCTATCTTCTCAGGTTAATTAATCACCAGGCTTAAACTTGCTGTTACCAGCAGGAAGTCCATCCCGAAGTCAGCAATGTTACGATTGCATCTTCTAATACTGTTTATCCTGCATTAGTGTTTACTTAGGGGGAAAATTGATCGGTAATTGATATTTCAGTCTTCCAGAGCTGGTGTTGGAAGAGCCTAATGCAAGCCTTTAATAGCAAGCAAATATTTAAATCCCTTAATGGTTGCTGAATATTGAAATGTGTGACTTTATTACCCTTTTTTGGTTTGTTTTCTCTGTAGTTGTGTATTTCATCGTTTAAACTTGCAACGGATGCTGGCAGGCTCGAGTCTAGCTAATCCACAAAAGCTGTTTGCCCAGACGCAGCAGACCTGATTAAAAAGTATTGCTATGGCAGGAAGTCTTCTGCACTAATCAGTCTCCGTTAGCTAGTGACGAAATTACTATCCATCTCTCTCTCTCTCTCTCTTTCTCTCCCTCTCTCTAGGCCTGTTTTCTCTAACCTCCTCTCCCAGAATAAAGTGATGGGGGCAGCTATAGTGTTGCAATTAGGAGCATGAATCTTTTATCGTTTGGACAAGGAAGGGGAAATGCCATTACTGTCAACTGAAATGTCCTCCTTGGGTTTTTTGCTCCTACTTCCCTGCCAAAGCCCATTGCTGCTGCTGAAAGTGTATAACATTCACAGCTGTTCTTGATGGCTTGATTCTTAACACAGCCAGAAATGTAGCCCGGGAGATGCTTAAGACAGTTTATGGAAAATAATAGATTTCCTTGCAGAGACACCAATGCATCGAGAAGGGTCTTGAGTCACGTTTAGACCCAGCCAAGATCACCAGTTTTCTCCCTTTCTGGCTTCAGTTACAAAAGCTTCTTGCTTTCAAAAAAAAAAAAAAAAAAAAAATGCAGGCCCTCTTGAATCCTCTGTGTTTTCCCGGTTGGTTTCTATCAGCACCCACAAGTCTCTGGCTTTGGCGCCCACTGTCTCACCACCCACCTCCAGCAGCCGTGGGATCTGACCGGAAGCAATGCCTTCAGAAGTGGAGAGACCGGGATGCCGCAGAGTGGACCAGAACCACCCAGAGAGCCAGCCGATGGGAGCTGAGACTAGGTCGTCCAGCCTGGGGGCTCCAGAGACAGAGGTGGCTCTGGTGGAGGCCACCGCCACCACCCTAGCACGGAGGTGGGGGGCCTTCCCTGTGTGCCAACTCCGTGTGGCCCTCGGGAATGCCAAGGAGTGGTGTAGTTAGTTCGCTAGCTCCGGCCGCACAGCCCCTTAGGTAGGCACTTCCCCGGAACCAAGCTCCCTGTGGCAGGTCAAGAGGGAGTGGCTCCTCGGTCACCAATGTCTGGAAGGCTCCGAGGACGAAACCGCAAACGGTGCATCACAAGGTTGCAGCTCTCAGACTGTTTCTGCAAATGCATGTCAAAAGCCATGTGTTTCTTCGCCCCAGAGTGCCTCCCCAGTCACGCCAGGAAGGGAAGGCGGCGGGCACAGGCCGGCAGGCACCGGCCGCCTCCCCCTGGCCCCTCGGCTCCGGCTGCGGCCGCCAGCACCCCCAGCCGCTTGCCGCCACTCCCCCACTGTTTTCATTCTCAGCTTCTCCTAAATGGAAACCATTAATCATACTAAATTGTGCAATGATTCCATGATAGGGAGAATGCTGATGGCAAAAATCATTCTCCGTTGTTGTG